ATCATCCTCAAGTGGACTTGCCAAGCGAACTTTGGGTCCCACCCAGGACATAAAAATTCGCGAAGAGAAAGCGGGTTGATTCACCCGTTGTCACCGGTGAGCCGCGTCGTCTTTCTTGCTCTTGCTCAGATCTGAGCGTTGAGATTGGTCGCCGAGGTGTTGCAGGATACCTGGCATCTAGCAGTCAACTTGTCAGAGTCCAAACGCTTCTTGACGCTTGTGGGGTCGCTGACCGCAGTGCCACGAGCTAGACTCTAGACGACTCTCATGAGATGAAAATAGATGAAGAATGATGAGAAATGTCTTCTTGTCCGAGAAAGAAAACGATCCAAAGTCCCCAATGGGACAAACATCGCTCAGAGCATCGCAGAACAGACGAACAAGCTGCGCATCTCCGTCCATCTTTGACGATCCGACGGGTCGTTTGACCCCAATAGAAAAGCTTCGTCAAAGGTGATCAAACGTCAGGAAGTTGATCCATATTGTGATGCTCAATGAGATTTTACCACATGAATTGGATGCCGTTTCATCTATTGGGTACTTGGGAGATCCTGTCAAGGCAGAGATCGGTGGGTTCCAAAGGGCAGAGAGGTCGTCCGAGGGTGCTCCACGAGGGAGCTTGCCAGCGTCACGACCGACGAAAACATCCACTGGACATCACTGGACATGGTAACCTGCGCAGGTACCGCTAGTTCAAAGACAATGACATGCTACTAGTAACAAGTGCATCGCTACTAGTAACAAGTGCCACGCTAGTAGTAACAGGTGCATCGCTAGTAGGAACAAGTGCCTTACTACTAGTAACAATAAGAATTTAATTTGAATTGTAATTACTAGCAAAGGAATCACTGGACATCACTGGACATGGTAACCCACCTGAAAAAGACATGACGGTGCTACCGTGCGTGCAAATAGGATTCAAAAGCATTCAACAAACACATTCTGCAATGTTTACTACTCCTGGTGATGAATGCCCTCATCCCACCATGTTTGGTGCGCATTCTGGCCTAGATGCCACACGAGGCGCCTTCTGGGGCTCCTCGGTTAGCAACACAGACCCAAAGGGCTTCCTTCTGGCCAAAAAATCGCCCTAGAAACCCGGGAGCTAAGGAGAGGCCTCAGGAGTTGCTATCAAAGGTATCTAAGAGCTGGGGAGCTCAGAAGACTTCAACCCTTCCATAAATTCCAGGCGGAAAAGAGAGCACCCAAGTTGGGCGTCTTTTTGTGCGCAATGAAACTAATGTAAACTCCTCTTCAATGGAGCATGATGTTTAACCCTAAATGGGTTGGTCACAAGCCTTCGAAGCAGCCCAGCCCACCAGCCTTCCCACCCTCCACTGCAGGCCAAGCGCACTCTCCTGTGGTTCTTCCGGGGGCACCACCTTGGGCTTCGGCTTCACCTGGGCTTCGGTGGCCGCAGCAGCTTCCCGTTTTTGAGGCCAACACCACGAACCGAATCGCTGGCTGCCCCACCAGCGTGGCCACCCGTGGCACGTAGGGCTTCCGCCTCGGGAAAGAGCAATGAAAGCGGATCTCTGATTCCCCTGAAGACAAGAACAACAGCGACAGCTGGAGAAAGCTTTTTGGCCGTTCACTAGACGAACTTTAGAATGTGCATCCGGCGGTGGGTTCCAAAATCATTAGCCCCAAACACCTTGTCTAGCAAAGGACAACTATGGACAATTAACAAAAATCTGTAGATGTTCCACCGGAAAAAAACACAATCCTTTGCAAGGTGTTGGTTCCCACCGGATCCACGTAGAGCCTTTAGACGCCTCTGGGCCCTCCCAACGGTGTGGACGGCGGAGGCGTGGGCGGCTCCACTTGGACAGCTGGCGCCGCTGGCGCCGCTGGCGCCGCTGGCGCCGCTGGCGCCTGGAGCGGATCCACCGGTGGCGGATCACGAGACTCTTCGAGAAATAGCATTCTCGCCCTGCTAGCAATGGCCTCCAACCTAAGAGCGATAGCCTCTACTGTAACCCTTTTTATTCTCATGGCCCACAGCAGGATTACTTGGAGAGCTGAGACTGATTTCTCTTAGCATACCGGCCAGCAGCTAGCTGACCAATGCACCAAGACAAACATTTGAAAAGGATTAAAAAGTGCCATCTTGTGAGGGATCTTCTGAGGTTGGTAGGGAGTCTTTTCTCTGTCTTCGGGGCAGAAGTTTGTTCAAGCAGAAGTCATGTCTGTGATGACTTTTTGGGGGGCAAGAGGTAATTACAGTAGTTCTGTTGAGGTGAAGTTTACAGCGGCCACGGTGCTGCAAACCAAGGGCATCGCTACTAGGAACAAGGACGCTACTAGTAGCTCCTGGCACTACTACTAGGAACAAGAAGCTACTAGTAACAAAGGGCATCGACAAAGGGCATTACTACTAGCTCCATTGAAGAGGAGTTTATAGCGGCCCCGGGTGCCTGCAAAGTGATGTCATTGTTTTTGAGGGAAATTATCCAATTTATGCTGCTGGGCAAAAAATGCACGTCACAAGAAGTCCAGTGAGAACTTCTCACCTCAACGACCAGCAATCCTGTTGAGTGTCCAATTCTGTTTCAACTCTTGTTGTGTTTTAACGGTTCACACCCGGTCCGCTCATCCCCTTAACTGCAAGGGTGGGATGGACCGCCTGTCCGCCCAGTGTCGCACCCCGCAATTGAACCTAACCACTGTCGACCATACCGGCGCTCTCAGTTTCACCTCTTCTCAAGCCCTTCTCCCTCACACGTTCTCATCTCGTCTTTCCCTCAAGGCCTTGGGCTTCGCATCTGGCTTGGCGCGAGGCCTAGTACAAGCAGCTCCAGCGCCATGACTGGGTCTCCAATGACAAACGGTGGCCCTCCCAAAACAGTAACACAGAACCAGCGGATCTGATCGCCAGGTTTCCTAAGAACTCTTTCTGATCACTTTTCGATGTTTGTCAAAGTGGTCAACACAGATGCAGGGGGACTGTGGTGTTTACAAAAACTCCATGGTCTTTTTTCAGATCCCCAACTCCTTGGTAAGTGTAGACCAACTCCTTGGTCTGGAGCGTTCCTGCGACGGACCTGCTCGTGGCGTTCTCTGTGTCTCCCGACGTTGACCCTTTGGGCGACGGAGGTGGTGCCGCCTCAGGACGGGGGGCGCCTGCGTTTAAACACCACGCCCGAGCCTGAAGGGTTCCAAGGGTTTGGCTCTGAAAAGTGGACTGGGCAACAGAAGCCCACCGAAAACAAAAGAGTAACGAGCTTTCTATGTCGACGTGAGAAACTGCTCGCGGTCATGAGAGCAGTCGTTCTGCTCTTGAATAGACGAGCAGTTCTTGAAGGAAGCTGATCAAGATCAGCGGACGTGTGCTCCTCCAAACGGTGTGTGTACGCAACAGACCAAGGGTAACAAGGACGCTACGAACGGGGCTCCTGGCATCGCTACTAGGAGCGATCGGACGCTACTAGGGAGGGTAGATGTCAAAAGGACAACGAAGACAAGGCAACGGCACACAGACGCAAGGCCAGCTGCTCATCTGCTGGTCAGATTCAAGCAAATCTTGCAAGGGTGTGCCCTTGAAGGGTACGGTATATATATTATAACTATATAATATGTGTGCTTAATGTCATAATTTTGGCTTGTTTTTAGACACTGGTGTGAACAAACAAAAAGAGCTTGACGTGAGCACATTCCACCATAAGCCCTCTTTCTTTGGCTGTCATCATGCCATCCTCATGCGATCTCGCTTCAAGTGCGGCCAAGCGTCGGCTTTGGCCGGAGGCCTCGCTGAAGCCCCGAGGGACCCCAATTCATTGACACCAGTCATATACACCTCAACCAATAGGTCTGGATAGGTCTGTATGGCTTGCTGGGTTTTTTCATTTTGCGTCCGTGACGTGTGAGACATCCATGTGATTTTGTCTGGACTCGTTAGGACCCGAGCCCTTTTCTAGCGGAAGCGGGAAGTGGACAAACAAACCGCGAAAAAGCCCCAAGCTCAGGATCTACGCGTCAGAACCCCCTTTCTTTTGGTTCGAAGCTTTGGAAATACTCTTGAGCGGTCGGTCACTTGGGTGAAAGAGCAGGTACTTGGTTCATCTGTGTTCATCCGATTTTGGAATTCATCCAGATCCATTTGGACCACCTGGAATCGCCCAGATTCGATTCGCTGCTGAGGCTTCGGCGAAGCGGCCTGCGCCGGCGGCCAATGAGGGTGGTTCTACAATTTTCAGGGACTGCGAGATTCATGCCAGCCCCCTTCGAGGTTTCTGACGCACGAAAGGGAACACAAAGAAAGACTGACTATTGACCTGGCACAAGGAAGACCTAGCAAAAAGTCCATTGAAGGGGAGGCGAACCCCAAGTATACCCGGTATACCCGATTCCTCGTGGGGCAAATCTCCTCAAAGCGCTGGAGTTCCGATGCGGCGAAATTGTGGCAGCAATATGCTGGCTCAAATTAACTTAAATTAATTGCTTCTTGTTACTAGTAGTAAGGCACTTGTTACTAGAAGCGATGC